ATCCACGGCAGTTTGCCACTTAAGTAGATGTGGTATGCGGGGGACAGCCCCTTGGCAGAAAGACCAATCAACTAGCTAGCCAACACATACAGCAACAAAAGGCATTTGCAGCAGGGGTTAAAAGGCACCATAACTGAGTTTCCTCAAGGATGTGTATACAAAAGGCATTTGCAGCAGGGGTTAAAAGGCACCGTAACTGAGTTCCCTCAAGGATGTGTATATGGCTATCAAAGTCCTTGATTTCAAGAGCCTCTTGTCTCAGCCTCTCAAGTGCTACCAGTTGTCACCCGACTTCACTGGGAACAACACTTCTGGTTCCATCTAAGCAACCTCCTCTTCCACCTGCAGCACTGTGGCTCCAACTCAGCCTTGTGTGCTGGGTGAGCACCTTGCCACTGCCGCATCTCCAGCCCTTAGTCTTTTTTTTTTTTTTTTTTTTTTGAGACAGGATCTTCATTATGTAGTTCTGGCTGTTGCAGAACTATGTAGACAAGGCTGGCTTCAAACTCACAGAGATCCGCCTGCCTCTGCCTTCCAAGTGTTGGGATTAAAGGTATGGACACCTGACCCCAGCCCTTACTTTTTGAGACAGGCCTCACTATGTAGTACAGGCTAACTTGAAATGATGTAGTCCAAGCCGGCCTCATGTTCATGATCCTCTTGTTTCAACCTCCTGAGTACTTAAATTACAGGTATATACCACTAAACCAAGCCTGAGAAACCAACCATTTTAAAACTTCAGCCACTTTAGATTCCTTAGTGGGGCAAGGATATGTCCTTAATATTGTGGCCAAATGTAAGAAGATATGAGAAATGGAAGAAAAAACAACTCTACCTTCGAGAAAGATGTACTCTTTATTTTACTTGGTGCTAAATCAAAGAATCAAGCCCTTGTACAAGCCTTTGAAACTTTGGCCTATTTTATTTCAGAAACTTAAGTACAGATGCCACCAAGTGGTTCTTATACATCTGGGAGTGGGGAAGGGATCTTTTGATTTCTAAATTTCATTGTTGAACTTTCAAAATGGACACACCTTTAAATAGGATTACAACGAACATCTTGTCTTTTGTGTATCTATATGCCTTATCTGAATGTTGGTTAACTGGGTTCTAACAATGTTGTGAACTTCTTTAACTTGGGAATGATCAGCAGGTTCTGTTACACGTGGTGATTTCAGCACTGTGATGTTGCCCTTGGCTGCTCAACCCCCAACCCCTCTCCTGTCTGCTGCTGTGGCTTCTTACTGGCTTCTTTCTAATAAACAGTCTTCACACAATGCATTTTATGACATTATCTCCTGCTGTATTAATACAGTCACACTAGTTTCCATGACACTGGAGATGCTGAGGTCAAGAGGTTGGAGAACATGAAGTGACAAACTTTTTTTTCCTTTGACCAGAACAACCAAGATTTTGTATGTACATCCATTTGGGAACCGTGTGGCTTCTATTAGAACAGGCAAAGAGCAGTTTTCTGCTGGATAGGTTAATGTCAGACAACTGATAAAGCTATCATTGCTGGGGCTGGACAAATGGCTCAGCAGTTAGGTACAATGGCTACTCTACCAGAGGACCTGAGTTTGATTCCCAGCATCCACATGGCAGATCATGTAACTCCAGTTCCAGGGCATCCAATGCCCTCTTATGGCCTGCAAGGGCATCACGCACACACACACATTGCACAAACATACATACAGGTAAACACCCATACACATAAAAAGAAAAAAATCATTACTGAATACATCCTGCTAAAAATGCTGTGATGACCAGTGCAAGAGCTTTTATTTTTGTGCCACATGGAACAGGCATGGAGCTGAATGCCCTGGGCAAGAGCACTGTGTCTTCTCATTTTCAAAATCTCTTCATTAATAACTAGAGCTAGCTCCTAAAGATTTTCAATCTGTAAGTTAGAATTAATTTTTTTTTAACAGAATAGTCTAACTGGGCTCAAAAGCGCTGGTAAAAGCCAGTAAGGTTTCTGAATCTGTGGCATTCTCCTGCAATATTTTCTTAAAGATTTCATTTAGTGTGTATGTGCACATGTGTGCGGGTATCTGCAGAGGCTACAAGAGGATGTCAGATCTTCCTGAACTAGTCACAGGGGCTTGTGGAGCACCAGTCATGGATGTTGGAAGTCAAACTGGCCCTTTGCAAAAGCAAGTGCTCTTAACCAAAAACTCACCCCTCTAGCCCCAGTTTTTAAAGGTTTTTCTATTTACAGCACCAAATAGTGTCATGTCATGCCAAGTGTAGACTGGCCCAGCAGCTTCCTATTTCCCCAAGGGATTCCAAGTGTTGCAAACCCATACCAGGTGAATCAGCTTCCTGGACAACCTATGAAACAGTACAAACATACCCACACAAGTGGGTACTGAAGGCTGCAGGATCTAAGGCTCTTCTGGCTAAATGAACGGTATGCTGGAAAATGGAAATGGGAAACCCAACTCGGACAAGCACCACCTTTTCCACATCAATTTAAGAACTGAAATCTGACTTGTTCTGAGAATAGTAAGGTGGTTTTTGTTTTTCTCTGAAATACCCCAGGATTAACTTGAGAATCACCTTGCCTATACTGTCATGAAAACCACTTTGTAACAGAGATATGTGTGCTCATTGGGAAGCATGTTAATTCACTTAAAAATTTTAAAAATAAACTTAAAATTTACAGTAATTGTGTGCGTATGTGTTCTTCTGTCCATGTATGACGGTCTGATGAACTTAAGGAGTTGGTTCTCCTGCCACCATTTAGTCCCAGATACTCAACTCGGGTACTCGAGCTTTGCAGCAAAACCTTTTACTCAAGTGAGCCATTTCAACCACCTTTACTCACTTTAAAATGATAATATGAATGCTAGTCTGAAAAAAGCCTAATATTTCTGAAGAGAAATTATATCCTAAGTTTATGTGGTGCTGGGGATACAATCGAGGGCTTCATGCACCCTGGGCAAGAACTCTACCAACTGAATTGTATCTTAAGTCCCAGCTGTTTCATTTTAAAAAAAATATTTTATTAAATAACACATAAAATTTACCAAGTAAAACAACAGTCTTTGTTGATTATTTTTATGTCAAGTATTTTTTTGCTGCTCAGTTTGAACATAGATTCGGGAAAAATTTTCTAACCTAAATATGAACTATTCTTTACTACTTCTTAAGAAAACAAGAGAGGAATTTGTATTTTTTGTAAAAATTTGTACCAATTATTTTGGTAAGAGATAGCCAGCTCTCAATACTAAGGACATTTTCAAAGTGAAGGAAATAAAAGGACTCAAATATACTGTCATTCTGTTTGTTTTGTTTTTAGACAGGGACTCTCTATGTAGACTAGATTGTCCCCTAACTCAGAGATCCACTCCCCTCTGCCTCCCAAGTGCTGGGATTAAAGGCCATGTGCTACCACACCCAGCGCAATCTACTGCTGTAATACTAAAGACCTGCCAATGACTAAGTTACCATCCTTAAGTGAAAATTATGACACTCATTAGTGGTTCCCCCAAAGAAACCAATCACACTTTTTTCCTTTGGGGGAAAAAAAAATTCTAGTCAAATGTCAAAAGTTTTTTTTTCTTAACCAATTTTTGTCTTAGAAAACAAATCCAAAATAAACTTTAACTATATACTCACTTTGTTATTACTTTTTTGTCACCAGTTTTTGGGCATTAAGAGTTTAAATTATAGAAGGCAAAAATGAAAAGTCACAACCATTTGACTGAACACAGAGAGGCAGACAAGTGTGGGCAGAAGTGAAGTAGACGTGGAAACCTGTCAGCCCAGTAGCACTTGGATTTGTTCTGTCTGTCTGTCCGTTTGGTGTGAAGAGGGTAACTGAGACCATGCTCAGACAAGAAGAAAAAAAAAGAGAATACAACAACAAAATACAACAGAAACAAAAAAATCTTCCATGATTAGGTCACTGATTAAAAAAATTACAAGCCAGTGAGCACTACCATATAAATTAGTCAAACATTTTATTATAGAGTATATATTTTTATATCAAAAGCACAAAAAGACTTTTATTCTGGGAACCAGGAAGATTGACATTACAGGAATATGATTCAACGATTCCAGTCCATTTCCACAAGTACTGGGCACCCCATCACCTAAGTCAGCCCCACTGGCTGAAAAGGCAGATGGAGCTGAGGTCACAGCTGTGACCCCTGCAGCAGCTCAGCATGATTTCCTTACTCAAACTGAGACCTGCATTCCCAACCCCAAACACCCACTTTCCAAATATTTGCTACAAATTGAAGTGGGTACTGAGCCAAAGATTACACTCAACTATAATGCTCCTGTAAGTCGGAAGATTAATCCTCAAATAATAAGGATATCATAATTGGCACTGTCATCTAATTCTAAATAAAAAGAATCATCAAACATCCTGGTGGATCTGCAGTGACTTACATAGGAAGAAGTAAAGCTCAGAAGCATCGGAACTGAGCTAGAAGCGAGTAACAGCTGGAGTGACACCCACCATGCCGAGGGTGACTGTTACCAAATTCTCAGACATGGTCGGCAGCTCAAGGCAGCTTAGCTCTCCATTTCTCCAGGCTTCACCAGAGGGAAACACACAATAACGGTGACGTAACAATGACCTTACTCCTCCTGTTTGTTCTCACAGGCCGTTACTATTCTTCAAAACTTACTCCCTGAGAGGTCCCAGACTATGTCAAGTAAAGAAGTCAGAGTAAGCTTGCAGTTCATCTTGTTGCAAAACAGAAAACTGTATCGCTCTCTACACATGCTACACTCCTTAATAGTTAACAGTCATTACGACAAAGTCAACTCACTTCTCAACAGTTCTGAAACTACTTGAGGGATAAATGTCATGTTTTTAATATCGAATTTATAGTCAAGGAGTTAGCTGGTGGTGTCGAAAATACAAATGTAAATATTACCTTAAAACAATAATTTGTGTCATCCAGTTTACCGATTAGTAAAGTAGGTTACCACTACCAATTTATTGCTTTTAATGTGATGAACACCAGATGTGACAGCTGAACTTTGCAGTGGGACACAAGCACACTGTTCTCTTTAATTCTCTCCGTGAAACGGGACATGTACGTATCCGCGTTACAACTCTGTAGCAGATGCCTCCTCGGTCAACCAGTCTTGTAAACATTGCATTGTGCAGATTTTCATACTTTGATTCCAAAATTAACAACAGTTAAAGGCAAATTTAGTAACTGAGGGGTGGGGGAAGAGTCCAGTTTGACTTCCTGCAACATATGGTACCGCTCCTCCCTTCAGAAACAAAACAAAACAACAAAAACCCTAGCAGCACATAAAAAAAGTCGCAAAACATTTCAGTACTCTTTTCCCTCCCATCAAAAATTGAACAAAATAAAGTGCAGCACCCATAAAAGTGTCAAGAAAATAGCCAAGCTCTTCCTTCTTGTAACAAAATAGTCCTTGGCCTCAGCAGTCCTAACTGAATCACACAGTGTCCATCATTCTGTCCTCGTCTTCTTTCTGTGCCTCTGAGTTTAAACTGCAGAGGGCTGTGCTCACAGAACACTGAAGATAATCTGGATTCTGGGGAGAAAGGAGAAGGAAGACACCTGGTGAGCAGCTCCACACCTGCGCATCGCCTCTGCATCTGGGTTCACGTTCTCTAGTCTGCTGCAGCTCAGCAGATAGGAAAGAAAATGGATTTATTGAGTCTACTTGGGCTGAAACCCACAGAACTAAGGGTAGGATAATATTATTTAATCCAAAGAGATGTGATACAGAGTGGACATATGTGAACAAAATGTAATACTATCTTTTTAGCCCTTTCAACAAAACTAAGCATAATTCTTTAACCATACAAGGACAAATTTCCCCAGAAGCATATATTTTCATAAATATGGCTTCTAGGGGTCTGGAGAGATGACTCAATAGTAAAGAGCACCTGTTCTTCCATAGGACTAGGGTTTGGTTCCCAGCATCTACATGGTAGCTCACAACCACTTGAAGCTCTAGTTCCAGAGGCTCCAATGCCCTTTTCTGACTCTGTGGACCCTGCACGCACATGGTGCACACACATGTATTTAGGGAAAACATCTATATATATATATAAAATAATAAAATTTTTTATTCTGTTAAAATAAAGTTTTTAAGTCAGGAAGTGGTGGCACATGCATTTAATATAAAAGTCGATATTCTTGTTATATTACCATATTTCCACAAAGTAGTGCTAGGTTTTTGCAGACATCTACTTCAGATTCCAGAGCCCTTCAAGACCAAACTTACAGTAACTCTAGCTTGATACTCAGAATTAAAAGCCATCAATATCCCTAAGTTAAGCGACACTGAAATTCCACTGGTTGCCCCTTGGTCAGTCTGTCAGCATTTCCACTTGTCTCAGTACACATTCTCCCCAAGAGCACAGGAATCCGTGCAGTGTAGGACTCCTAACTGGGGAAGGACGCATCAGCCCTACCACTTACTCTGTTGACTTTAGGCAAACTAATTAACCTCTGTAATTTTCAATTTACTTATGTGCAAAATGATTTTAAATAATCACAGCATTTTTAAGATTAAATAATACATTTCAACATATTGTACAACCCATGAAGTGATATAAAAATGGTAAACCATTATTACAGCAAGATTCTTTTCAGACTTCAAGACTGTCAGCTTGGTCCCTTGGGTGCCTCCTTCTTCCATTTCCTTCATCCAGCCACTACTCTTATATGACTAACAACAATTTGGGCAGTACTCCTCTCCCTGAGGCTGTCTAGGTAGGGTGCCTAAATTCTCACCCTGTGAGGAGCAACTAGTCTATTAACCCAGAGTCCTTAAGTATGAAGGTTCCTGATAATAATTCAAATGATAAAATTACATGGCTCCAGCCTTTTCTACACAAGTGACAGTGGAGACCTAGCCACTGGTGTCAGCTGTAACTGTTAAGTATGAGAATGACATCTTCTTGGTAACACAGGTTGCTTAGATTTTAGTATGTGTAAAGAACCAACGACATCCTTTAAGTCTCTTTTTCCTCTGCATGCATTAGGTGACTAAGTTTATCTACTGCCTTTGACAGCATCATAAAACTCCTTGGAAAAAACCTGCTTTCTCACGTGCTACTTCTCAATATTGTAAGTAACATTAAAGAAGTGATCTGGGGGCTGGAGATGGCTCAGCAGTTTAGAGCACTTGCCCCCTTGCAGAGGTTCAGGGTTCACTTCCCAGTACCCACGAAGTGGCTCACAACCACGTGTAACAAACAGTTCCAAGACATTCAAAGCCCTCTTTGGCCTCCCTGTTTGGGCACCAGGCACACGTGTTGTACACATATATACAAGCAGGTAGAATATTTTCATACATATAAAATAAAGCAAATCTTAAAAAATTAAAGAAATGATCTGTAGGCATTCTTTAGGGGCCTACTCCTGACATGTCTAATTAAAGGAGAACACTAGTGATTATTTAAAGTCAGAATGCGAATATTTACATATTTACATTACACTGAAAATGGTTTTGGTTGAGATAAATATAACCAATTGCTTTCCTTACATTAGGTTAAAGTGCTAATGTGAAATTTAACAGCTGTTTAAAATACATGTTACTAAAATGGTAAAATTATAGTGCCATAAGGTCAAGAAATGGAAAATCTCAATTTTTACCATTATATGAGGCTTAAAGATAAATACAGGACTCTCCTCATATTGTCTTCTGAATGACACTTTCCATGTCCCCATGCAGACAACAGAATAAACTGGCTAAAGCTGGTCTTAAAATCTTGGAGCCTGGAAATGAGAGATAACTGGGCTCTATTAAGCTGCTAACTCTAAAATCACAATGGGCAGGGACTGTCTGACACTACCTTAAGGCTCTATCAACTATACTAGTGATCTGCTCTCCTCTTTCCACTGATGACACTTTGTCATGTTTATAGCATAGCCTTTATCTTTATCTAACATCAGACTCTGAGAAGGGTCAAACAGTTCGTATACTATTACTGAATATATAACACACAAAAAGTGCTACTTAACAAGGTATTAATCACATAAAGCCATGTAAAAGATCGCTGTAGCTTCCACTCACATGTCTGCTTTCAACCTAATTTCATCCTTTAAAAAATTGCTAACAGCGTATTTTACTCAGATGTTGTGAGGAGCCACCTGAGTTTATGACTGAGATAACCAACAGGCAGTGACAACTGGCATAAAAATGTTTAGCCACAGCTCATCTTTTCCACATTAAAATGAGACAGAAATTGGTATCTCTAAGAGGTAGAAGAAACTCAATGCCAAAGCATGGAATGAAATGAGACTAGGGGTTGTTGTTTGTTCATTCCTTTGTTCATTCATTCATTCATTTCGGAGACAAGGTCTTTCAACATACCCCTCACTGGCCTGGAGCTCAACACGACCTCACACTCACAGAGAGATACAGCTGCCTCTGCTTCCTGAGGGCTTGAATTAAAGGCAGGAGCTACTACATCAACACTAAGGGTTATTTTTTGAGGCAAGAAAATTTTAAGTGGTCATACATACATTATACATGCGTGTGCTAAAGAACAAAATTATGGACACTATGAAATGAGTGTTCCCTTTCCCAGCTTACCTGTGATAAGGAGTCTAAGGAGCCTATGCATCCAACACTAGAATGGGGAACATGATTCGGAACTGTCACAGATTGAAAGCTCTGTGATTGGGCATAAAGTCTTACTCTTGACTTGAAAGCTTCAAGTTCATTTTTGAATGCTTCAAAATAACCTTCTTCCTCTGCCTAGAACATAAACACAAACAAACAAAAAGGCTGTTTCTGGACGACTAAACCACAGAGTAAATTTCAAAAGCACATAACAGAGTTAGAGTAGAGGCAGTAAAGAAAAAATATAATGTCAAAATGCAGAAACCAGCACAGTCTCCTGGCAGATTTGTGAGCAGTTTCTTTTACAGGCACATTTACAAATAGTTGGTCTGCTCTACGTTTAATTCTGCATCAGCAAAATTAACTAACAGCAGACAACACTCCTACACATATACATGGAGTAGGAGTGGCCTGGTGGTGCAGCTTTTAAGACCAGCTCCTCAGGAGGCTAAGGCAGGAGGTCTGGTAGGCAAAAGAGTGAATTTACCATGAACAGAGCAACTTAGTGAGAACCTCAGGCGGATCTCTATGAGTTCAAGGCCAGCCTGGTCTACAGCCAGAGCTACACAGAAACCCTGTCTCAAAAAAAAAAAAAAAAAAAAAAAGCAAAAACAAGTTATTGTTTATAGCTTTTATTTTGAGATAGGGAGGGGCACTTGCTTGGCATGCACAAAGCCCTAGGCTCAATCCCTACAACTGCAAACAAACTGTATCAACCTCTCATGTTCACTTTATCCTCACTTCACTGGGGAGAGACACCATAACCTCTCTAGTACATCTCTATCCTGGCAAGTCTCTATTTGTAAAAGTTATAGAAGACAGACTCAGCAGTCAACTTAATTATTGTAAGGATATTTTAAGTTTTGTAGCTTAGCAAGCGTCTATTTGGCATCTGGAAATAAACAAGCACGGTAACTTAGGCTGAGGGAAGGGACTCGCTGTGGCATCCAATGACATAGGCGTTCTCCATGAAAAGCCCCTCTCTACTGACAGAGGCTTCTTTTTAAACATTTCTTCTATGTGTACCTGGCAAGGTGTGTGTCCCAGGCTAACAACATGCTGCCTTTAAGTTCAAGGGGTAGAAAGACTTTGTCAATGGAGTTTAGATTGCAGAATTTGGTTGAGATTGTACATTAGTTCCAGGTTAAATAATGGAAATTATGTTCTGGGAGGATATCCTGTCTTTTTAAATAATTTCCTTAGTTAAACTTAACATCTTACTGTAGTAACAGCTAGACAGAACTTGAGCAGACCTATGCTACTGTCCAATGCTTGCATCCAAAGGCAAACAGAATATCCGCTGACTTTCCTGTAATCCTAAGGCTCAGAGCTTAAATCAAGAAACCCAACTCTGTTTAATGAAGTAAGCTATAAGGCATTGTTTATTTTCTTTATGTCAGTTTCCTCCCTTATAAAATATGAGTAAGAATCTTCATAAAATGCAGAAGGATATAATAAGTTAACACATGCAAAATGCTTAAAACAGTGCCTGTCATGACTCACTTTGTGAGTACTTACTGCCTAGTTTTTAATATTAAAACTGATAAGGCTGAAGATTCGAGTTTTCAGTTCTGTTTTATCAAAGAAGAAAATTTATAAGTAGTGTGACAATGTCCCATGACGAAATTAAGTATCGGTTGAAACATATTAAGGTATCACCAAAAAGTATGGTTTTCATTGCTTCTTCTATGAGTCAAGTAAAAATTTATTTACCATAAGTCTAGCTAAAATTCCAACCCAGTCATCATCTGTTCATTAAGTCTACTGTAAGATGCTTTAAGATCATAGGAAACTGCAGGCATACACTGCACTTCAGAGTTTACAGCACTTAAGGTAGGACTATTGTCATTTGGTAGTTTTTTTTTCACATTTAAAAACACAATTAGTTTTGTTGTTTGTTTCTAACAGGAAGTGTTCATAGCAGTAGATCATAAAGAAAATGAAAATAATAATTCTATCTCTTAAGCATAATCAAAGTTAAACTTCTGGTATATTTCCTTTTAACTTCTAACTACAGATGATGAAATATGCAAAAAACCATATAAACATATGTGTGGTGCCCACAAAACATGCATGTGCAGTTTACTGGGCAAAAATCCCACCATGTACCCACAGAAATTCGGAACCAGATCATCATCAGTACCTCAGAAAGCAGTTCCCACGGTTCTCCCCCCCCCCCCCCCGCCTCAGTCATTCCTTTGCTCCTGTTCACACATGGGGCTCTCAAAAACATACCATTTAGTTCTGCCTTTATAAACACTGTATAAAACACTTAAAACTGCGAGCTTTACAAAATATATCTTCACAACTGACCCTGGCTACACAACTAGCTTGTTTTATTCATTCCTACTGTTTGTCTTTTCCATCTATACTGATAATGAATTCTATTAATCAATACACCCGATTTATTCTTAGGATTATGAGCAAAAGTGGCCAGGCTTTTGCTGTTTTAAGCAGATCTAGAAGCAGCACAGCACTGGGTGCAGAGATGAAGAGCTGCCTGGGACAGTCATTCTCAACCTCACGGCTCTCCTACACTAAAAACGCATGGCTTCTCCTTGTGTTTCTATCAGTCAATATTTCCTGTGTTCACACACTTAGAAGACCCAGGAACAAACTTATTACATGCTGCCACTAGCAGTGCACTTTTATTTTACACAACTGTGTTTTTCATGAGCTAAATGTATGATGATAACCATGTATTTCTACTTGAGACTGGGAAACGGTGACAAGTTTGGGCATGGGAACCTAAGTTTGGATCCTCAACTCCCATGCAAAATCCCGGCATGATGGCACACATTTGGAACCCAGCACTGAGGAGGGGGAAGGGGAGCTGACAAAGACAAGCAGATCCTGAGGATTTGCTGGCCTAGCCAAAATGGCAAGCTTGTCTTGGAAAATGGGATGGAGCTGACAGAGGAAGATAACATGTTGTGACTTCCGGCTCCCACACTGTGCGAAGTAAACTTGCACACACCCAATATGTAATAGCTAAAGACAAAAACTGTCTGTAAAGCACCCTCCCCTCAAAGTAAGAATAGTAAAATCTGCTTTTCATCTTCTCAAGTCTCTCATGTCTGGCTCTATCATCTGCTTCAGCACCGAGTGCACGCTCATGAGTGAACGAGAGCGAAAGCAGTCACTACCACACAGCAGCATTATGGAAACCACTGTTCCCGGGGGCCTCCTGACGGTCAGGGCCCCTGACACATGCTGAGAACCTGCTCTCGATGGTACACTCCTCAAAATGGCTTTGCTATTCAGATGTGCCCCTGCTCAGTTCCACCAGACGTACTTCAAAGGGGCTGTTCTAATGGATACTCCCCACTGCTACTAGCAGTCAATTCAGTTCTTACTGCTTTGCTTCTTAGAAAACTTGTAATTACTGATCCAATAAACACAAACCAGTAATCTTTCTGTAAATACCTATTTTCTTTAGTAGGGCCAACATTATGTTTCCATAAACCAACTCTTTAAACATTTTCTTAGATTATTAACAATGTTCCATAAATATGTAATAGCTGCCGAATATTCTATGTACACTGTACTTTCTGAAAGTTGTCCTTAAATGTGACGTGCTTAGATGGCTGGCCTGCTTCCTTCTTCCTCCCTTTCCTGTCTCCTCTACTGTCTCTCAACAGGATATTACTAGTGCAGCCTGTGCTGACTGCCAAATCATAATTCTTATGCCTCAGCTTCCCAAGTGTATATTTTTTTCATTACAAATTTGGTTTCTTGAACAGCGAGTTCTACATGTGGAGGATGCTGTATCTTTTTTGCTTAACACTGCATTTGAAACGGCTTTGCTTTCCATTAGTAAATACTCCATACACTACGTGGGTAAATGCTGAAGTACTCCAGAAGAGTCACATTAATTTGCATGGGTTTCAAAAATGAATTTTAAATATATGGTCTACTGCAGCCTCTTACTCATTTTTTAAGTCTCAATCAGCACAAAAATTGAAATACTGTATTGTACTATAAACGCTAACTTATACTGTATAACCACTATACTAGTTTATATATACTAGTACAGACACCATACATTTCTTTTCACTAGAAAACCTACAGCACTTAGCAGCTGTACCTATTGCCTAGACAGCTTCCTGATCTGCACAGGACAAAGAGAGCTCAGCTACAGTCCAATCTTCTATTAACAACACCAAATAACTACTTACTTTGGCTTTCTGGAAAAACAAACGAAAACAGCCTCTTGGATCCACATTACAGTTTTTGGCCATTTCCATGATAAACTGCATTACCACTGCTTGATGTGCTATTTGTTCCATTAAAGCACCTTTCTGAAAAAGACATACACCAGGGTTAAAGAAAATACTTCTGGAAAGACACTGAACTGGTACGAGGCAAATTTTGAATTTGAGAGTACTTTTGATTTTACTCCTTATGGTTACATAAAGCACTACACAAACATAAACTGTCTTCCTGCTGTTACGTGGGCCAGGATAACTATATGCGTTTGTCCGGGTCACATTAAGATGACTTTCCACTCGGTAGAATAGGAAGAGCGACTGCGGTGCATGGGAGTGAGCAGAGGGCAGCAGAGCCAGCACACTGGATACCACGGGAACAACACTTTATAATCCCTTTGAATAACCTTCCTGCTTTCTTTTCTTCTTCCAGAAAGGGTTTCTCTGTACAGCCCTGGCTGTTCTGGAACTCACTTTGTAGACCAGGCTAGCCTTGAACTCAGAGATCTGCCTGCCTCTGCCTCTGGAGTGCTAGGATTAAAGGTGTGCGCCTACACCGCCCAATCCCCTGCTTTCATTTAAAGTAAATAATGAAAAAAAGAAAGAGTAAAAACTTATAATTCTAGTAAGGTTTCTAGCCACTGAAGGTTCATAAATACCTGCTCAGCTTCCAGGTGAAAACACCATAAAATAAGATATTTAGCAGTTTCTTCGCATACAAGGTATGGGTGGTCAGACAGAAATCTCTGACTATCGTCCCACCGACTCAACATACCTGTAAAAGAGAATTGAACCACAGATGTCAATTGTCTCATTTCTTCCTGTGAGGCAAGAAGTGGATTTTAAATGTTTCTCTTTAAAGACAGTTCCCAGTACCAGAGAAGTGTGTCATGTGATAGGGCAAGCCAAGAACACTGATACCCCTCAATAATATCTAATAGGCTGGAATCTCAGCAAGTTTCATTTCAGATAATGAGTCTGATTTAAGAAGAGTGACCAGTTGAAGTCCCCTGCTTATGGAAATGCCTGAAATCCCACATATACTTGCAACACTTGGTCTTCCCTTAAGGTTAAAGAGAGAGCAAATGATTGAGATATTCAGTATCATTTACTAAGAGAACAGAATACTTTTTCTTAGAAAGATGGTTAAAAATTTGTTACTGAGTGGCTGCAACAAATGGTCACAGAGCCTGTTCAAGGACAGCCTGAGCAACTTTGCAAGACCTTGTCTCAAAAAAGAGAGAGGCAGGATGGCATGGTTCAATGATAAAAGTATTTGACTATTAATGATGCATGAGGCCTGAGGCTCAATTTCTAGTCCAAAAACTTTTCAAAAACCAAGACTTCAAAAACATCGTATTTAGCAAATTTAAGAGCTTACTAAAAATTCAGAATACTCTACTATTTCCAATTTATTTTTAGAATGTCCAAGATATGGTAAAATGGAGACATTTATCAATTTAGGAAACTTTTATCAACTGGTTAACAAGTAAGTCAGTATAGCAGTAACTAATATACTACAATTATTTCAGTCACATTAGCCAATTACTAAAGCTGTCTGTTCAGTGTATACAGAAAACAATTATTTTTTTAAAAAATCAGTTGAACATATATGAAAGGCTACCATTTCATTTCAATATATTAAACGAATCCAAAGTAGTACTTAGCATGCACCTGCATCTTTACCTAACTTAACAAAGTCACTATGACCAAGTAACACGGAACCTGGAATGTGCTAGTTAGGGTTACACTTGAATGAACTGAGTATCACAATGTCAGAAACCGTAGACTTGAGATCCATACAGAGCAGCAAAAGCAGTGTGGCTGTTACTAAGCTATCATCGAAGTCTCACAGGACTGTCTTGAGAGTATGACAATGAACTTTCGCTCTCAACAGAATCAATTCCTACATACTAAATTTCACATGAGAACATAAGATTGAAACCAAAGGCAAACACCTTACACAGCAAAATGTGGGGAACCAACTGAAACTACACTATCTTTAGAACCAAGTTAGGGGCAATTTCAGCATTTTGTTTGTTTGGTTGAGGAAAAAGGGGTGAGGGGAAGATCAGGGTCTTCTACATAACTCAAGAATCTCTCAACCTTTAAGCTGTTTGCCTCTGTCCCCAGTGCCAGGATTACTGACAACTGGGTCATTTACGATTCTGAGACACAGAATGAATCTGCGAATTTACTTAAAACCACTTCCCCAGGAATTAATGCTGGGCTGGCGAAAGCACAATCCTTATTTCTTATACCCAAAGACATAAAGGGATCCTATGGCAGTGTCTGCCCCTCCCCCTTTCCCCATGCTCTCTTTTGAGAGTCTCATGGAACCCAGCTGACTTTGAACTTGCCACCATGCTTCTCTTCCTCTCTCCAGTGCTGGGATAATAGGACCTTGCTCCACCATGTCTGATTTTTGCAGTTTTAGAGATGAAACCTAGGGCTCCAGACATATTGATCATGCACTCTACCAAATGAGCTAAATTCCCAGTCCCTTTGCTAGCCTGCTTATACGTCTACAGAAGTAATACTTTCTATTTTATCTACAAGCAACACCATGTCTGATTTTTGCAGTTTTAGAGATGAAACCTAGGGCTCCAGACATATTGATCATGCACTCTACCAAATGAGCTAAATTCCTAGTCCCTTTGCTAGCCTGCTTATACGTCTACAGAAGTAATACTTTCTATTTTATCTACAAGCAATCATCTTCAATTTCCTCAACATGGCAGCATTATGATTTTATTAACAAAACCCTGTCTGTTTGGATTCTGAATTAAAGACAGTATGAAAAGGACTGGCAACACTTGTTACCAATCTGTTACATGCTGAAGTTTTTATTTTTTTAATACCCAAGACAATTGAGACTGAACAAAGATTTTCAGTATGTAAGTAAATTAGAACTTGAATTAGTATGAAATTGAGATGTTACAAGTAGTCCATATAGGTCTTAAAGAAAAAAGGTGTGGAATTTATAACAATTTAAAGAGAATCCATAGTTATAGGAACAGAACATATCTAAAGTTGCTGCTATTTTGAAATCTGTAAACAGTAACACAATCTAGGATGATGGACAAGGAAACAGATGTTAGAGCTAAACAACCTTTGTTTTGAACCTCGGCTTCACCTTGGGCAAGTTCCTTTATATACCTCTGTATCTTCCCATGTAGAGTGGGGCTAAAATAGTACCTGACATGAAGGATTTTTATGAATTAAAGCTGTTAATTAATAAAAAGCACTTAGAACAGTGCCTCAGATTGTAAATACTCAATAGGAAGTATTAACACAATAGTGACTAATTCACTCATATAGCAAATATTTATTAAGACAATCTTTTGGTTAAGGATAAGCCAGCCACTCAAACTAACCAGTCAATTTCTCTGAATTCTTAGAATAGCTTACTTTGGCAAATTAAAACAAGCTAATTACACATTTCAAACCATATGTCTCCTGATGAACATCTAAATGTCATCAGTTCTCAATAGTCATTTGATTCTTAAAACTGCTCCCAGTAGAGATACCCTGCATTCTATTTACAGAATACACTTAACCATTTATCGTGACTGCTTGATAAACTCCCCTAGCTAGGAGGCAAGCCCCTTGAGATTATGACTGCTTTTACTGCCTGAGCCCTCCTGTGTTTCTCATCATCTATCACCAGACAACTGTTTTTCACTTCCATGCCTATGCACAGTCATGGTAGTTAAAACCAAATCCATCCTTCTCTCTGCCACCCTACAATACTCTGAGGTTCCAGGTTATCCCCTCAGGTATTCTACAAACTCCTCTGACTTTTAATTTCTCTAGCATCAAATTGACCATGAAGATAAGCAGTTATACTATTAGATGCTCAATACATTTTTAAAAATATTAAACCATACCAAAATTTTAGAATAAGACCTTAAAATATTTTTCAGGCAATAAAAATGAAGTATATTTGTTGTAAAAAGTTTGAAAAGTCCCCAAATTAAAAAAGTTATATGCAATTGTATTACAGAGACAATTTAAATCCTATAATAATTATGATTTTAATTAATTTTACTTATATTTTATTCAAGTACCTCATAGCATGTTTTTCAAAAACAGGATATTAATATATTTTTAAAAGTAAACCACAAGTAAATACAAAGAAGATATTATAAATGAAAAAAGGTTTTATATAAATATTTATGATTTTTGATAAAATTTCCAGTGACCACATTCTACACAGATTCAGAAAATGCTGAATTGAAGCTAACTATGCCTGGAAGGAAAATGGTGTGTTCTGAAAAACTACTGCACAATCCAAAAAGTGTCTCTGAGGACAACAAAGGCAGTGAAGTTAAAGGTCCAAACAACTGGAAACTGCTGTGAATTTGAAGAGTAGACGAGCTCTGTATCTATGTCAGCATTTTGTATTTCTAAAGCACAAGTCAACCAATAAATAAAAATGTAAAGGAAAATCAGATTTCAATGATCTGTAACACTACAATAATGGTACCATTTACCATTACTTGGTAAATTGTACTTAAGTATAAGGGTAAAAGCAACAGGAGAACGAGAGTCATCAAACAGCATAAAGGAGAATCAGGAAGAACTCTGAAGAACACAGCACAAATGAGAAAAGTATTGGTGTGACGTCCCTGCTGTCCCACATAGACAGCTCCCGGATTCACCAGACCCTCTTTTTCAAGAGTCTACAATGGAATCCAACTTTGGAAAGCCTTCACTTGGAAGCTTTAATTACAGCTACCATTCCAGATTGGTTTTTTTCCTCTCTCTCTCTCTCTCTCTCTCTCTCTCTCTCTCTCTTTCAGGAGTTCATCAATATACTTATCTGTAGCACAAATCTAACTGGTCTTAGTAATAAAAACCTGGAGTCAGATATAAGGGGGTGAAAGCTGAAAGATCAGAGAAGCAGAGTAGCCACTAGTTCTTACCTCTACGAAAACCTCAGAACCAAGAGGGCAAGAACCTGTCTCTATGAATCCTCATACTGAATGCTGTCTCTGTGAAATCTCAGACTGAATCCTGAACTCCTGTCTCTTCCTGCCTTATATTACTCTGTCTGCCTACTTCCCATCTCTACCTCTTTAGTGCTGGGATTAAAGGTGTGAGCCACCATCACTTGGCTGTTTCTCTTAAGACTGATTCAGTCTTGTGTAGACCAGTGTGGCTTTAATCTCACAGAGATTCGTCTGCCTTTGTCTCCCAAGAGCTGGGATTAAAGGTGTGTGCAACCACTGCCTGGCCTCTACAGCTAGTGAGGCTAGCTCTGAACTCTGATCTTCAGGAAAGTTTATCTGTTAAAGCACAATCACCACACCTGACTATCAGCCAGGCAAATGCTTTTTTCTTTACTAATAAGCATGCACTAGCAGAAGTACTCACTTTCTCAAGGTGAACAGCATCAAGCCCTCCAACTCTTGTCTCAGGCCTCTATCAACTGTGCTATCACTTTGTAAATGTGGATTTTGTTATCTTATCACCTCATGTAACTGTAAATTTAATCCATTCTATGTTGATGGAACTTGGTGAGCAGAAGTAGCAGATGCCCAACATGCCTATTTATATATAAGATACACAGATGCCAGAGAGTGGACAGTTAAACACATGGAAAGTTTGGGAGCCTACTACCTTAGGAACATTTCTGTGGATCCAATGTGCTGCAGCAAGTAGGAGATCTCCTCCAAGTGAAAAGCCAATGTGCATTTCCACTAAGAAACGGGTACAGTGTGAATCTGGGAGTGGCTATCAGTCTGGTTGGATTTGAAGACAGCAAGGGTCTGGTTAGTATTACAAGATGAGATGCTGGAAGCTCACAACATGCAATGGTAAAACAAATGCTTAATCATCTGCGGAGGCCACGCCAGCCTTTTCTCCTGTTCCTCTTATTAAACACACAGTAGTTCCATAAACTAAGGGGGGGGGGGGGTCATGTCTTAGGTGGGCACAGGGCGAGGTAATGCAGACACTCAAGAGCACGAATTCTTCTCATCAAGGATGTTTCGGTAACCTAGCCCAGTAGAATCAATGAATACCAAACTTTTCAGGAGCAAAAATTCATACAAAACCCACAATATGGCACCATATTTTATAGAATTAATTATCCAGTAATAAATAAAGTAGGAGCTTGAGTTTTTGGTCCAATTTCTTCTTGGAGGGATCAATAATCCCCCATATGAATACGCCTGTTCTAGAACTGGAAATAGCCTCTCTTTATTATACTTCAACAGGAATTACATTTGGGAGTGTGCTAGATGGACTGGTTACTGTACCACATTATTTTTGATTCATTTTCTGCCAAAATAAATGATGAACATGAACTCATGAAGGTCACTGGTCTTACCATGGACTAGTCAGAAACAGCCGGTTTTACACAGGGAGGAAAGGGTCTACTGAAGATGGAGTCTCAGTGTCAGGTGATTACAACATCTTGTGAAACTGGATGTTTCCCACTCAGAACTGCATTGAACTAAGGCACTCAATCTACAACAAAGGAGGCACTATCTCTCACTTACTAGGTGACATGGCTTTAAAGCAGCAGCCATGTGTTTCCCGAAAGAAGCACGTATTTTCCTGCAGCAGAGCACATGGGTCCTGGTAGCAAGGACTGTAGGTAGGATGACAACGACAACATAGGACTCCTCTGCAAGATCCTGTCTTCTATCCCTGTGATTCAAGACCCTGTTAGTTTAAAGATGTTAATACCTATCCGTGAGAGGGCTGCTTATTCCTGTTATTTCTATTATATGAAATGGCACAATAATATATGTAGAAAAGTGAACTTGTGTTTAGCTCCTCAGATACTAGCCTTTTCTTTCTTGTTTTTTGTTTGTTTGTTTTTGGCTATTTGTGACAGTCTCATAGTCCAGGCTAGCCCCGAACTTGTTATCGCCTTGCTCCAGCCTCTTCAGTGCTGGGATTACAAGCATGTGTCATCATGCCCAGCTGTCTTCAGGTACTAACTATTCTTATATTAATGCACAATTTTTTTCTTCTGAAGCAAAAGTAATACTGTAAGGGGGTACAAATGAAAAAAGATTTCAACACATGCCAAAACACAAACAAGAACCATGTCTGTTGATTCACACAATACTTACTGAAAATATAGTCTGAAACTCAACTCCTCCCCGTTCCCAGCAGCATTTTCAGGCTAGCATCTTCACACTGCTTCTAAGTCTCAGAGCACACCACACTTATTTTCTGCATTTCTAATGCTGTGGCCTGATCTCCATGGGAAATCCTTATCTGCCCTTCCTTAAGAAACCCAAATGATACCTCCTCCAGGAGCCCTTCATTTACTTCACCCCCAACTGCAATAGGAAATGCCAGTTCTGGGACTAGAGAGACTTCAACCATTAGGAGTGATTCCTGCTTTTCTAGAACCTGAGTTCAGATGCCAGCACCCATGTTGGTGGCTCACAACTACCCATAACTTCTGCTCCAGGGGATCTGATGTCCTCTTGCAGTCTCTATCGGCTCCCGACACATGTGGCATATACTTACACAGACACATAAATAAAGATTAAAAAATAATGTCAAGAGTTGTATCCTAAATCTCTGTGTGTGTGTGTTTGTGTGTGTGTATGTGCGCGCGCGTGCGTGCACACAGCAATGCATTTTTATCCTATTATCTGAGCAACATGTCAAGGAACTATGACTTACATGACATCATATCCAAACATGCAGAAAGAAAAAAAAGTGTTGGAGCTCGTGGGATAACTCAGTGAGGAAGAGTACGTGCCACCAAATCTAATGACCAAAGGTCAATCCCTTAGAACTCACACAGTGAAAAAGGAAAGAACTGATTCTGTTAAGTTGGACTCTGACCTCTTTGCATGCACTGTGGCATGCCCCAACCCCTCCCTACTGTCTATGAAAAAAATACACAAAATGTTTAAATGAATGCTAATCTTTTAATGTTAAGAAAAACTATCAAAAGAAAAAAGAAAAAGAAAAACATCCTAGCAGTCAAGAAATGCAAAGCAGTGATGCCATCACAGAGAGCAGCGGCAGCGGACTGAACTTTATAACGGCTTAAGACACAAGCAAAGTGAAGCAGCTCTGATGACCCTGCCATAAGCAACATCACGAGTGGACTTCGCCATAGTTTTTCAGACCTTATTTTCAGAGGCTCAATTTTATACACACCAATGATATCAAACACAATAGAGAAGGAAACTTAAGTAGTAGACTCACCAAAATGTCGAATTTTTTGCTCATATTTCTGCATAAATGATTGCGATTTATCTTCATCTTCTGTTTTTCTTTTATCTTGATTAATAAAACTCTGAAAAAATAGTAATTAAAATCAGTATTGTAACTAAATCTCTTCAGATGCTAAATGCTTAGCAAACTTTCGTAAAGACATGATGTAATAAGAAATGTGGCATCATTAAACTAATCTGTTAAACTTGTCATTCAAAAATTAAACAGTCTCATATGGTAGTTCCATTTGCTTTGTTTTAAATTATAAATTTATCTAGTGATCACACAGGAGAAAAGTTGAGTCTTTTCATTATACAGATTACCCAATCAAAGACATGAATGGAAAGATTCTTTATATGTGTTATTCATTTCCAATAAATATTTGTAACTCCAGTCCAATCTTTGGGTTCCTTGCTAGAAGTAAACTCAGCAATTCAAAGCGCAAAGAGTCAGATACTTACTATAAACTCTTTGAGAGGAGACAGAGTAAAAATAAACCTTGACTACATTTCTATAAACAGTCTAACTCTTTAAGTACAAACTTCTACTGAGGAAGCATTTACATTTGTTAAGTAAGTCATGGGACAGAACACATTTCTCATCTTACCAGCAAAACTAGCACAACAGTTTCCCAGAGTATTCTGTGATACACCTTATGCCCTGATACTATCACTGCAAATTGAAAAGCACAAGTTAGCTCCGTGCCAGCTTGTATTTCAAAATAAAAGCACCTTTTAATGTTTTGTTATCTAGACCAATACTGTCCTAGTCACAAATATACCTTAAAATTTTCTACTAGCTCCATTAAAAAGCAGAAATAAACAAACATTCATAACCTAATGTACTCAACATATTATCATTTCAACATGGAAGAAACACCAAAAAGTTATTAACAAAGTATTTCACTTCTGGTGATGTATATTTTACAATTAGAGCACATCCCAATTTGGATGAACCACATTTCAAATGCTTAGAGCTGGTGAGGTGGCCAGGCAGGTCAAGGAACTAATTTCACATTATGGAAAGAGAAGATCAACTCCAGTAACTTATCCTCTGACCCTCACACACATCCCCTGGTAAGCCTGCTCTTGTGTACACACCTGTTCTCTCCTCATCCCCCTTATACACACACACACACACACACACACACACACACACACACACACAATTAAAAAAAGCAACCTAAAAATGAAACAAAAACTACTAACTTTGCCAGTTAGTGGCCCCATCACTCACAAGGTAAGAAAGAGGGTTTGTTTGTTTTGTTATGCTATTTTTTATTTTGCTTTGTTTTTTGAGACAGGGTCTCTCTATGTAGACCAAACTGTTTTTTTTATTTTGCTTTGTTTTTTGAGACAGGGTCTCTCTATGTAGACAAAACTGTCCTGAAGTTGTGAACCACACTGGTCGCAAATTATAGACGCCCACCTGCCTCTGGCTGGGGTTTGAAGGCATGTAGCACAAAGCCCTGCTGATTGAGTTTGGAATGAGACATAGATACATGGCAAGATCCAGTCTCAAGACTGGGTATAGTGCCACATGTCTTTTTGGAGGGTAGGGAGAAGCCGAGGCAGGCAGATCTCTGAGTTTAAGGCCTGCCTGGGGTACAGACCAAGTTTCTGATGGGCTAGGGTCTGAAAATGAGACCCTGCCTAAAAAAAAGTAATACAAAACAAAACAAAACAGATTATGCCTAAAAAACAAAAACCTTATTAATTTAGCAAAAATACTATTCTATTTAAGAGACTGAACTATCTAGATTAATTTTAAAGGACTGTTTCAATGTTTCAATACTAATACTTAGGATAAGTCAACACTGGCACCTAAAACAAGACAGGGTGCCTAATTCTTCAACTCTTATTCAATACGGTGCTTGATGACTTACAGCAGTAAGATAAAAGACTAAGAAAGGAAGAAATAAATGTGATCTTATTTGTAAATAATATAGTGCTATTGGTCAGAGACCCTAATGACTACATCAGAAATGTCTTTAATTTGATACACTTTCAGCAAAATGGTAGGATACAAAACTAACATAAAAATCAGTAGCTTATAGACTAATAACAAGCTAAAAAATAAACTAGGAAAAAAATCGTATTCACAATTGCATTAAATACAGACAAAAATAAAAGACCTTGGAATAAATCTAATTCTCTCTCTTTTATTTTTTTGGATTTTCGAGACAGGGTTTCTCTGTAGTTTTTGGTGCCTGTCCTGGAACTAGCTCTTGTAGACCAGGCTGGCTTCAAACTCACAGAGATCCACCTGCCTCTGCCTCCTGAGTGCTGGGATTAAAGGTGTGCGCCACCAATAAATCTAATTCTAAAAGAAATCATCTATGGTGAAAACCTAAAACACTGAGGAAAGAAATGTAAAAAAAGGAAAGGTCCTATTTTGATGGATTAGAAGATTTAATATTATGAAAATGGCTATCATACCAAAAGCATTTACAGATTCAATGCAACCTCCATCAAAATCTCAATGTGTTTCTTCACAGTAAGAGGGGGAAAAAAATCCAAATGAAAGCACGAAAGACCACAGACAGCTTAAACACGGCTAAAAGAAAGTGCTAGAGGTTTCACTGTGCTCAACTTCAACTGTATTAGAGCCACGGTAACAAATCAGCTTGCTACCGTGCAGCCACAGCTGGGAATTGCAAAAATAAATTAACATATCAGAGAAAAGGCAGACTCTTCAAGTGATGATGGCAAAATGGGATATCCACATGGAAGAATCTAGATCCTTCTCTCTCATCCAAATGGATCAAAGACCTTAATGTGAGACCAGAAACTTTAAGATAACAGAAGAGGCAAGACTCTGAATAGGACTTCAGTCACTCAAGAAATAACACCAGCAATTAACCAGAGACTTATTGAGTTTCTATGTAGAAAAACAAAGCGGGGACTGGAGAAATGGCTCAGCACTTAAGAGGACTGCTGCTCGTCCAGAGGTCCTGGGTTCAATTCCCAACGACCACATGGTGTCTCACAACATATGTGTGGCCATCATAAGACAATTTCCAAGTGTTTCTCCCTTCACCATGTGGTCCTAAAGCTCAAACTCGGGTCATTAGACTTGCTGAACCCTCTCACTGTCCCTAGTATCTTTTGTTAGAGTAGACAAAGAACAACCCAATCAATTAATGGGCTAATGAAATGAGTACACAATTCTCAAAAGATAAAACACAAATGGCTAATATATGAAAAAATTTCGACACCACCAGTCATTCAAGAAATGCCAATCAAAACTATATTGAGAGTCTGTCTCACCCCAACCAAAATAGTAGTCATTACAAAAGCAAGTAACAACAAATGCTGGCAAGGTTACAGACAAAAAGGAGCATTTACACACAATAGGAATGTATTAGAGCCCAGCTACTATGGAAGTTAGAAAGTAGGCTTCTCAAGAAACTAAAAATACTTCTGCCATATGGCCCAGCTATATTACTCTTGTATATTTACTGAAAGACTGTCAACATACCAGAGATACCTGCACATCAAACTTTGCTGCAGCACTATTTTATTAGTAAGGACAATAGCTAAGTATGGGACTAACAAGGGTGTCCAACAGCTGAATAAATAAAATGAGATTAAACATACATCAGAACAAATGTACACACACATATAAACACATTACTTTATAGCCATAGAAAAAGAATGAGGTTATGTGATTTGCAGGAAAATATATTGCACCTGGATATAATCATATTGCCTGTTTTCTCTTCTGTGCGGGCCCTAGATTTTCTATAAATGCACAAAATCCCTAAAGTACAAACAATGTGAAACCATTTAGGGGCACAAAGGCAACTACAGGAATGGGAATGGGTGAGAAAAGGGAGAACAGAAGGGTATAGAGCTGGGTATGCCAAAGTGCATTGTATACCGGCATGAAAATGGCTTTATGTAACCCAGCATAATGAAATTTAAATTAAAAAAACAGAAAGAGAGATTACTCGAGCTTACTAAACCTGTGCTGGTAAGCTGAAAGGCTTTATTTCTAAGTCCAGGAACTATGTGTGTTACAGAACTGACGGAAGCTGACAGTGCAGCCACAGCAGGAGTGCTCACGTTAGCTGCAGGGCGCAGGCCCACGGAGACATCACCTGACTAGTCTTCCCAGCTACCCTACATGTTGAGAAAGCAAGGCTTGGAGATGTTTGCTGTTTAGTGAACTCTGCTGCTTTGCTAACAGTTATTTACAGAACTGATTTTCCTTTTGCGGAACGGAACCCAGGGCCTCTTGTATGTGTTACCTATGAGCCACATACCTAGCTCCTTTTCTTCTTTTTCTTTTTTTGTGGTCCAACAAAAGTTCATACCTTATTAAAAACATCTTTGCTAATGGCATCCATGTTCCACAGACACATCCTCTCTCTTTGGACCAGAGCCTCCTCTTTCTGTCGCCATTCTTCTTCTCGCTGTCTCAGTTCTGACACTGCGGTCTGTGCTTTGGCATGTTCCTGATCCAAGGACTCAGAGTTATGCAGTGCTAAGCTGCCAAGTTTCTGCTGGGCTTCAGCAAGATTCCATTTGCACGCCACAGAGCTCTTCACAAATTCTTTCTGCCTTTGGCAAGCCAGCTCAATCCCATCGCTATACATCTAAATAAAAAGTAATAACAGCAGTATTAGTGAGGAATGAAGGTGGCAGCAATGACACAGTGCATGGTTTTTCAACTCAAAGGATCTCTGAATGGTGTTTCTGGAGCACAGCATATCTGTATTCTTTGTCTACAATTACATTTTACATTCATCAATTAGACTCTGAGCTTCTTTGTTCATCTACGCCCCTCCCCTGACAACTAACAACACAAAGCCTGGCAACTGTCTGTAACTTGCATACAGCTGGCCCACAGCAAGCATCAGATGTGCAGACTCCAGAATCCTTCACTAGAAGGAAAGCAAAGCTCACATCCAAGTTCATCAGTTACTTATGATTCCTCATCTTGAAAACCAGACCTTTAGAGCTTTAACCTGCAGGTTCTTCCTGCAATGAGCATCCTTCTTCTTCAAAGCAATCACTACTTTATTTCTGTGTTATCACAATTTGTGATGTGAGAGTTTGTAATAGAAAATTCTACTTATAAATGATTACATCATATAGACATACATTAACTTAATCCAAATCAAAAAGGAAAAGAGTAAATTAGGAAGTGCAACTAATCTATCCTGCTAACTCTGATCTACTCAGGAATAATTACTTTTAATATTTGCATAATCACTTAAGTAAATGCAATAGGTGTTTATATCCCTTGTTTCAACAACAGAAGATGAGGGCTTTTTTTTTTCTTTTAGGATTTCTAGGCTAAAAGCACAATTTTATATTACTGAAAAGCATTGTTCTCAATCTGTTCCCACACGTGTTTCAGTATTCAAGCCTTTATAACTTTCCATCAACTGTGCAAACATAATCCTACTCTTCAAGTCTTCACCAGCCATTCTCTCCCAGGGTCATCCTTCAAAGGGGGGGGGGCACAGGTTATTTACCAGAGTCCATTATTTAAGAGCTATTATTATTATTAATTAAAGACTCCTCAGTTCCAGTTACCTTTACCTCCTGGCTTTTTCTTCCCACCCTCAGGACCCTGTTTTCCTTTCCACTGACAACCCTCTGTCCGCACCTGCCCAATTCTTAAGCCATTTCTTATCCATTCTCCCAAACCCAAGTTATATACATTTCCATAGTAGGCTTTTTGTTTTGGTTTTTTTGAGACAGGGTTTCTCTGTGTAGCCCTGGCTATGCTGAAACTCACCTTGTAGATCAGGCTGGCCTCAAACTCACAGATCCAACAGCCTCTGCCTCCTGAGTGCTGGAATTAAAAACGTGTCCCACCACTGTCCAGCAGTGGTATTTATTTTATTTTTAACATGATATATACTTATTTCTTCTCCATGACTACCAGTTAAGGAGTCAGAATTTAATAACTGCTGGATGAATAATCTAATCTTTATTTCTTGGACAAACTGTTCTGAGGCAGGCAGAAACAAGGCTGTCCTACTTCCTGAGTTCTCCGGCACAGTCAAGACTTCTACCGTATGTGTATGTGGATTGTGGCTGTTTATGTGGACACTTGTTATCCTGGTTCCTTATTTAGTCATCAAGGCTTAAAGCCCAGATAACAGCATGTCTCTAAACAACCAAGTAAAACACTTATTTTTACTTTTTGATTCACTAGAAAAATTATGGGGTTAGAGAGTTGGCTTGGTGGTTAAGAGCACAGGACCTGGGTTCGATTTCTCCTACTATGACTCCCAACTATCTGTAACTCCAGAGCATCCTACACCCTCTTCTGACCTTGGCAGGCATCCAGAATGCGTGGGGTACACACACACACATGCAAGCAAAAACACTTACATACATAAAATAATAAAATAATTTTTTAAAAAGAAATAAAAGCAATTATGAATAAATGGGGTATCTTCACTTTCTAATTACATAGAAACAAATATTTCTCAAATCAAACCGAACACAAGAACGATTTATATTTAAATTATCATAGACTACCCATATATCATTTGGTCATACTACCCAACGTGCGTTGAGATGGCTAAGTATAATATAGAGTATTTAAAAGAGAATACAATACAGAAAAGTTAACCCAAGTTAGGTCAAGAACTCTCTGCAGAGCTACATTCCCAGCCCATATTAGGTCTTATTTTAATCAGTTATCAAATAAAATTTTAGGAGGACATAATTTAATGCACAAAAACTCTGCAAGGGGACTGTTATTATTAGAGTCTACTGGTGCGCCTTTACATCAAAAGCTCTCAAATCACATGTCAGACAACAGGGTCCCAGCACTGAGAGGAGTAAGTGGGCATGGGCTCCACCCTAACCAAGAAGCACCTTACAACTGGTAACTGCTGGAGAAGAGAAAATCACTTTTCTTAAATGGAATGTTACTGGGTACCACCAAACATACTCCAGGGCAGGCCCTATGCTAAGGAGAGGTTGACCAAAACAAGCTTAGTGGGGTTTGGTGGACATTTTGTTTCATTTTAGCATTTTAAAATAATTTTATGTATTTATTTATTCTTACTGGTCTTTTGTTTATTTTGATTTTCACTTGGGTGGTAGTTTGGTTTTTTGTTTTTGTTCTTAAGAGAAAGAACATAAAGGTGGGTGGATAGTGAGGTGGGGAGGATCTGGGAGAAGTGGAAAAATATGATCAAAACATATTGTATTGTATTAATTCAGTAAAAAGATACATTCTTTTTTTTTTTTTTAAGTTCTCAAATAGGAATTCCAAATTCTGGTTTGCCTTTTCAAACATCACTTGTTATATTGAGTTAGCGAGTTCTCTCTCTCTCTCTCTCTCTCTCTCTCTCTCATATTTGATTAAAAAAAAAACTAAGCCAGAGTTCGAGGCCAGCCTGGTCTACAAGAGCTAGTTCTGGGACCGGCACCAAAGCTACAGAGAAACCCTGTCTCGAAAAACAAAAAACAAACAAACAAACAAACAAAAAAAAACCTAAGCCAGTCATTTCATATGGATTTTAAAAGCCTGTTGATTGATTAAACATTTTGTTTTTAAATATTCTAACTCCCATATTTAAGTCCTAAAGCTAACAAAAAATATAAGTAGGCTTGCAATCACTCTATGTCCTTAGGAATAATGACTTGGCAGATTTTTGTCACCATTTAAAGGCCTTCTCATACAAATAAAATTTCACAGTATTTCTCCAGACAGGATGTGCAGAAGTAGGTTGGAAAAAACACTGGACTAGAAGTTAGGAGTTCAAATCCGGAATCTGCCACTAACTAACCAGAAGACCTCAGGGATCTCTTTTAATGAGGGAAATAAAAGCCTCCTTACTTTTAAGCCCCCACCACCTAGACAAATGCACTGGTAAAATGTGCTTTAAAATATTGCATTTCTTGGGTTACTTCTTTGATCCAACCACAGTGCGCTGAAATTCCTGAGATCATTTTCCCTCGTCACATCTGTTCAAACCGACATTAGCAATTGTTCATTTTCTCCCTCTGTCATACTATGTATACACAGATGACACCAGCGGGCCATAATTAGTAGGTGACTACTGACCCATCACTCATCTTGCCTCACTTTCCCTGTGGCTAGCTGGATGAACATAGTCTGTGGTTATGAAACAGCATATTGTTGCGTGAGCCCCGTTAACTCAGCTGGCTGACATAACGTCAGTATCCTACACTTGCTGGCAGACAGTTTAAACCGGTCATCTTTATTTTCAAAACCGTTTTAATTCTGTTACAACACTGCACTGCGTTTTTTGCAAAAAAAAAAAAAAAAACGCCTAGGGGAAAAAAAAAGACATCCTACAATCAATTTCATTGAACAGATTCGTGTTTTGTCTGTGCCCTAGAAATCTAGTTCAAAACACACCCAGGTGAGGAGAGACGTCAGGGCAAGGTGATGGGTGTAAGCACTCCCAGAAAAACTATAAATGACACGTTTTCTAAGGCAGAAAAGCAGGGATGACAACCACAAGGAACATCAGGAACCTGGGATAGAAGTCTGAAAGAACAGCCAACCTATGGCTGTTATGTTTTCACTGGAGGCTGAGGCGGAGTGAAACTATTTTTCCAGTAGAGGACCAATGACTGCGCGAAAGGGAGGTGTGTGCCAGCGTCCAAAGTGAGGTTTACAGAATCCGCGGAGATGCCAGCGTGGGAAAGAGCACGTGAGATGTTTATGTCGGGACTCGGTGTACTCTCATAGAAGTACAATCACTCACTGTCCCCATCAACTGCACAAAGTCGCTGGGGCTGGTAATAAAGGCTCAGTTGGAAGCACGCACCAGGGGACAAAGGGTCAATGTTCTACAGCCGGAGCCGCCCCCCTATCTCCGCACCGACACGCGAGCGAGAGGAGGAACTTCTTGCAAAGGTGAGGGGACGAGTGTGAGTGGACGTGGGGGTCGGGGATGAGCGCGTGGCCACCTCCTCTCCCGCGGAAGATGCTGCCACAGCTGGGGGTGGCCATCGGCCCACCCCCCTCGCGATGCCCGTGGACGGTTCCCCTCCTCCCCTCCCCCCCAAGAATGCAGGCTGTTCTCACCTGGGCGCCGCCGCCAGGCACCGGCGGGTAGTGGGACGAAGAGGGGGACACGTCCAAGTCGCTCTCCTCCTCGGCCTGCCCGTCAGTCCTCGGGAAGCTCCAGGGGCCCGGCGGCGGCCACGGCTGCTCCATGTCCCGCTGCTCCGGGCCCGACAACCGCCACCGCCAACTGCTCCGGCGTGAGTAGAACCTGCTGGGCGGAGCCAGCCGCCCGGCTGGCCACGGTCGTTACCCAGAATTCCTCTGCCGCCGGCAGAGCCGACGCACGCCGGGAGAAGGCCTGGGCCGTGCCGCCGGCCGACTGCGGAAGAAGTAGCCGGTCTGGGCGTCATTTCCGGTGGGCGAGACAGGGCGTGGCCTCGCCTGAGTGGCGGGGTGAGGTTTGCCGCGAAGGTCCAGGGAGGCTAGGGCTTTTAAGGGTTCGGATCCCGGTGATCAAAGGGCGGTTTTGGCTTGCTCCTCCTCTCGTGTTTCAACACTGCAGCTCTTTCGTGTACAGCAGTCTAAGTCGGCGTCGGAGGGGGAGCGTTTTAGGAGGTAGAGCCAACTTTGCATTAACTTCGAGTTAGCCATGACAAGACAGTTCTGCAAACCCTGGTACCGCGGGGAAGGACACTAAAAATAAAACACTGGAGCAAACACGTTTGTGAAGACTTGAGACAAGTAGTAGACATATCGGAGGGCTTCCTGCCCCTCGTATCTTGTTGTAGAATCGTGAAGATCCGTGTTCTCTCTCTCTCTCTCTCTCTCTCTCTCTCTCTCTCTCTCCATGGGCAGGTGGATCTCTGTTGCAAAACACAGAGGGGGAGGGAGGGAGGGAAGAGACTGAGACCCAGGGAAAAGCCTGGGAATGTAACTTGGTGGTAAGGTCCTTGCCTAGCACAGGCAAGGCCCTAATTTCAACTTCTAAGACCAGAGAGAAAAAGAGACAGCTAGGATTCAGGGAGTCTAACTTCACAACCTGCGTGTTTAACAACCAGGCCTGTTGTCTACTCACAGTCAGACTAGACAACAGAGCATCAATAGTTGAGTCTTTGATTGGCAAACATTCACAGGAGTAGGCCAGATAAAGTCTCTCACTGAGCTTAGAGAACTCCCAGGCAAGCCCCATGATCTATGTCACAGGCCTCTTACAGAGGCTTTTTACATGATTGTTGGGAATTTGAACTCAGGTCCTCCTGCTTGCACACCTAGCGTTCTTACCCACTGAGCCACCTGCACCTCGCAAGAGTTGGTTGACAAACTCTTAAGGTTGGTTAATCCTAATGGTTGGCCACTACATGAGAAAAATGCAGTCAGAAATGCTGTGTGATGACCTCTAGGGAAAAGGACTAACGTGAGAGGCATGTGTGCTTTTCGTGACCAGGAAAATACCCAACAATAGCTTTATAGCAGTAGCCAAAGATTTATCCACAAAGATGTTTTGGGGTGATAAAAGAGCGCTAAAAATAACTAACTAGAAGCAGTGGAGTTGCTCACAAATGAAGAGTAAAGTAGATCTCGTGTGCTGATATGGAAATATCTCTGCAGTGAACTAATGTGGTGGTGCATGTCTGTAATCCTGGGAAAGGCTGGGGCGTGAGGAGTATCAAGTTCACCACCACCCTAGGCTACACAGACAGGGCACTGAGTTAAGGAAATATATGTAGGATGAGAGCATACTTATTTTTAAAGGTGTGTGTGTGTGTGTGTGTGTGTGTGTGTGTGTAAAATTCTTGGAAGGTACAGAAGAAATGTAATGGTTTCCTTGGTGGATAAGGCCAGGAATCAAGTTTCTGAGGATCGTACTTCTATTGTTAGCGTTTCTGTATTGTGCCGATTGATCTTCCTACAAGTATAGAACTTTATAATCATAAATAAAAGTTGAAAAGCATTTTACTCGACCTCTGTTGAGGTCAGGCTTGAAAAGCCACAGGGGAAAGTGTGACAGGCGAGAGAAAAGGAAAACAACTTTTTTCCCTCTTCATTTGAAACCGCAAAGTGCTTTGAGTGGTGCCTGGCAAAGAAACCAGCTCTCTGTCGGTGCAGAGTTCACTGTAGGTTCTAAGTTGCTCTCCTTGATTCCCTTCTCCTCTGCCTGACCTCTAATTTTAGAACTCCTCAGATTTTTATGTGGGGGAGGATCTCTTCAATGACCATCGCTTTAAATAACGTCTGGGTATTGATCGTTCCCAAACTGGAATCTAAGTCTTGACTTTCACCCCAGCACTTCAGCCTCATGTTGTGTATCTGCAGTTTGGACATCCCCATTAAAATGGATGATGCACATTTAAAATTTAACGTGTCCAAATATGAGCTATTTCCTTATAATTTAAACGATCCCCTCTCTCCCCGCAGAAGGAGGGCTGTTCTAAGACCCAGAAAGTCACAAGTCCAGGCTCCCAAAGTTATAAAAGCAGGAAACACTGAGAAAAGCCACCCTCTGTTCCCTCCCCTACCCCGCCTCTCTGCTTCTCAATATGAGGCTAGCCTAGTCACTAAGCTTAAATCGGGTTCTTACTCCCTTTCTAACCTGTAACCCTTCATCTTACCACTTTGTATAGTTTTTCTTGCTATTCATGGTACTATGTTTTCCGGTTCTTATTTGTTATTTCTTCCTTCACTAGAATGTAAGCACCGTATGGTTGCAGGCTGCATCTCATTCACACTTGCAATACTCCGAACTGTGCCACATGCGTAGTAATGATCACTACATACACGATGAATGGATGAATGGGACATGTCAAAGGATGGATGGAAACGGGATTAAATCAAGGCGAAAGAGGGCAGATGAGGGGCATGAAGAAGTTTATTTTTTGACAAATGACTTTATTACTTTTCTGATCTGTTATAAAATACCCAACAGAAGCATCTCAACGAAGAAGGGGTTTATTTTGGCTCACAGTTTTAGAGGCAACAAGTCCATCATGTTGGACCAGCACCATGGTGGTGGGAACAGGAGGTTTCAGTTGCTCGCATCTTGGCAGATCAGGAAGCATACGGCTTGGCCTGGGAACAGACACACACGCAACCTTCAGGGTCCACTCCCAGAAATCCAATTCTCTTAGCTAGTCCATATGGTCCAAAGGTTCCACAGCCTTCTAAACCACTGGGACCAGCTGGTATTTCAGGTGTTTAAACACATGAACCTGTCAGGGGACATCTCATATTCAAATCATAAATGATGGAGATGAATATGACACCATGAGAAGCCTCATTGTGAACCACTGATAACTTCAGGGCATAAAGCCTGTGCCTTACTATTACACATTATTACTGCGTGTGTGTGTGTGTGTGTGTGTGTGTGTGTGTGTGCTTGCCAAGGTGTGCAAGCATGGAGGTCAAAGGTAGAATGTATGCTCTCCTTCCACCTTTCCAGGGAGGTTCCATTGATTGAACTCAGGCTGCTAGGTTCACGTAGCAAGTACCTTGACCAGAGATTCATCTCACTACTCCTAATACTTAAAATAACAACAGTAATAAAACAAATTTTGTAACTTCATCATACCCCTTTATCATCTTATGTTTTTAGAAATTGATTTATATTGTAATATGCCTACTAATCAGAAAGCTCGCCTTTCTCAAGGAAACGACTTTCCAACTGCAGAGTACATAGGACAAATTCCTAGAAGCCATCCGTCCCCTAGGAAGGGTTTGTGTGCCATCGTTGTCACTATTGAGCCCACAAATGCCACTGAGTTCAGCTCAAGCCAGGGTGTAGCACTAGTCTGGCTCATAAATGCTAATGCCATTATAAAAAATAGATCCCATGTGTAGGCTCAGATCCATGACAACTTCAAGATGGTTACAGGCCTTTTGGTTCTAATTTGCTTTTTCTTTGGAAACATTCCCAAAACTAAGGGAAAATTCTGGAGCACAGAGTATTTGTTTTTTCTTTGTTTGCTTGGTTAGTTGGTTTTATTTTGTTTTTTTGAGACAGGTCTCTCTCATAGCCCTGGCTGAGAGCTATGTATTCATTAAGAAATATGAAAATTGCCAGTCTGTGCTTGGTAGTAAGGCCACTGTTCTTAAAGTGCAGGGCCGCAGTCTTCTTTCCATGGTGTCCCTTCTGAAATGATTGCAAGATATTAATTGTACTGTATAGCACTTATCTTGTCTGCATCTTCATTGAATTTACTACCATATTTTCCTTTTATATGCATATGATCTGGCTAGGAAAGGAGATGTAAGGCTGATGACCGCAGTCCTTTTAATGGGCTAGCGTAGGAGGGGAGGTCCATGTAAGCAGGTGGTAGGTAGCTTTTCCTATTTAAGCACATATTACAGATCGCAAGGCATGTATTTTGAACACACAAATGTTTAGACTATAGAAAGCTCATGTCACAACTCAGTCATTGTCAGGATTTTGCTATGTTTGCTTTATTCCTTTTCTTCATTTCGTGGAATACTTGAAAGGAAAAATCTCAGCTTTCCGTGATTTTACTGCCACATGCCTATGATAATCAGTCTTGGTTGACCCACACTTGAAGGTGGGTGACCCCACCCAATGGACTGCTGGGGATGAATCTACAAGTTTCATGCTGGCAAGGCTAGCAGGCTGCCAGTGGAGCCTGACAGGTCCTGGAGCAAGTGGAGAAGCATCATCCATCTTCCTTACCTCCCTGACTGTGGACCCAAGCAAAGGGAACAGCCGCTTCAGTCTCCTGTGGCCGCATCCTACCCACCATGATGGACTGTACTCTCCAACTTCGAGCCAAAAGAAAACCTCCCTTGAATTGCTTTTGTCAGGCATGTTTGCAGAGTAACAAAAGGACAATGCAATCCCTTAATATGTGACTCTCAACCAAGTTAATGCTCTGCGCAAAGACACAAAGGCTTTATCATACCTATCAAAATTAATCACTGGGTATTGTATAACTCCAAATAAAATCAACATTGCCTGGAATTCTCAAACACCGTTTGAGTTGGTTTGTTAAAATTCAGGGTGCAAAAATGGCACACATACAATATTTGGTTATTGAGAGTTTGAAAATCTATACCACTTACTGCCAACACGTCCTTTGCTCTTACAATGCCATTGACTGTTTTAGTTGCTGAGGAGACGGCTCAACATTCTACATGTGACTTATAGGATGGCTTCTTTGGGAGGCCATTAATGTGGTTTTTTAGCTGGCCATGTTACTCAGTGGTGGAGTACTTGTCTGCCGTGCACAAAACCTTAGGTTTACCCCTGACACTCTAAAACAAAATGAGAAAATATTTCCCTTCCACATCTCCTTTAAGAGCAGTTAAGTCTAGAAAAATACTGCGCACTAGAAGTCTTTGCTGATGGAAACAATCTCTTTGCGCTGTCATTGGGAAT